TTTTCACCCTTTCCTTTATTGGATAAAAGAAAAGTCGGTGGTGACTCTTGCTATCCGCAATAATTGCAATAAAACTCAAAATACCCAAGTCAGTTCTCTCACCGTATTACAGATGCATATTATACAAGTCAATAAAACTCAACAACCACTACAATATTTAAGGTCCACACTGATCATAAACAACATGCATTGACAACAACATAATAATCCTGCACCGAATTATTATTCAACAATCACCAACAACAAAAATATAATTATGTCAGAGTCATCATCATTTATCATGCTCATACACCAACATATACTTATCACAACTTATAATCGTTCAACACAACATATTCTCAGTGCAACTCAAACATACAACAATTCTCATTAATTAAAGTATTATGTCATACATGCAATAACACAATAACTCAACAACATATAACAATATTACTTTGAACCGTATAATTCCTGCACAACAACGACAAGGTAGTTTCCACACCAAAACTACATATCTCAACTCAAACATTAACATCTTAACAACACCATCATGACAACATCGACATAATAACAACATCAACATCAACATCAACATCATGATAACATCATCAAACTTCAATATTATAACAACATCATCATAACATAACATCATACACCATACACAAACACTAATCAATGTTACGACAATCGACACACAACACCAAACATCATCAACTCAACAAATGTATATTCATAAGCATTAAATCATATTAATTCCTTATAACAATAACACATCATCAAACCAACACAATGATTCACTAATTGATCATACAAATCATTATAACATATCTACAGAAGGCATATTGCTATTATTCAAGTATTTCACCAAGAACTACCATGATGTATCTCTGAGCATTAATTTTCTAACGCTTCAAATGACACATTATTTGGACTCACAGATCAAAAGTTACGGCTAAAATCGTCAGACAATGCAACCAAGATCAAAATAGAAAAATTCTCACAAATTTGGCCTACGACAATCGATTTTCATAGAATGACAATGCATTGTCATCAACGATGCTTAGCTGCTGCCAGACCCAAAAACACATTTAGAGGCATGACAATCGATTGTCATCTAGCGACAGTGGATTGTCATAGTGTTATTTTCTAAAAATTGCACTAGTGCAATCGATTGTCATAAGGGGACAATCGATTGTCATCAGGGGACAATCGATTATTATCAAGGGACAATCGATTGTCACTGTATACTTTTCCCAAAATTCCAGTTTCTTTGTTATGAACCAGTTCTCTAATTCAAATCATTCAAACCCACACCAGTCCTAATTATAACATTCTAAAGCATACCAATTTATATTCTAATAACACCAATACATCTATCCCCCTTTAACAGACATAAACATATCAAATTTCTCATAAATTAATCACTTAAATTCATACATAAAAAACACTCAATTTCACATTAAAACTCAATAACACAACCATATAACAATAACATACTATTGCCATTTAAATCCATGCATATGAAATAGATACATCATCATATATTCATCAATATTCATCAAGAACCAATGGATAAACAAATCCTATTAGAGGTTAAGGGAAACCTCTATACCCTTTCATGATTTATGCACCCTTAGATGAACAATCCTCTTACCTTGTAATTCCAACAAAAACAAGCAATCTCTATGATCTTCTCTCTCAAAGCTCTAGTTTTCCTCTTGTTCTTCTCTTTGTCCGAGCTCTTTCTCTCTTCCAATTCACTTATTGTCCAAAAACCCCTATAACTCTCTAACTTTCTTTTTATAATAACAAAACTCCTAAATTTTAGATTTACCTTTCTATCCTCACTTACTCACAAAAACCAACAATATACTTCCTCTTTTATTTCCTATATTTAATTATTATATTCATTATTTTATCTCTAATAATAAAACAAAATAATTAAATTCACTAAAAATATTACGACTCATATTATTTCATTTAATAATTAAACCACTATTATTTTAATTATTCTACCACTTCTACACTATTATCACACTACTTTATTCTCTTTAGCCATCTCACTACACCTACACACATAAAATAAATATTTAATTTAAATCAATTAAAATATGTAAAATCATATAAATATGCTAAATCACTCAAATACACAAATTAATTTAATTAAATAATTAAACGAAAAAATTAGAGTGTTACAACTTGCACATGAATCACAAAACACTAATATTGAAGGACACTACTATAATTGAAGCCCATGTAACATAGCTATGTTAGTTGGATATGATCGTACTCGTTTTCAATATGCATAAAATCATCATTTTACAACACATTGATTGATAATAAATTAAATGTAGAAAATAAAAACATCTGCTAATATGATGAGTTTCTTGGGGACCAAAAAGTTTCTCATCTTTATAATATATATAATTTTTCCTACAAGTGCTTTCATGTGTTTCTTATATGATTCATTGTCATAATGAAATATGATGACTTAAACCCATCTAAACAAATATGAAAAACCTTCATAAATTATCTCATATCTCCAACAGATTTATGGATAGACTAATAACAATGTTCCATGTAATTACAATAAGACATTGTTTGATGGTAGTTGTTTTAACTATTGATTTCTTTAATGGTTTTATCATCTAAGTTAGGATAATTAATAAGAGATATGTTAGTCCTTATAAGAAATTACAAGTCTTTTTAATTATTGGAAAAGTTAATCAAGTAATAAAGTCTTCTAAATGAAGCAACATAATATTTTTCAAGATAAATTGTAACAAAAGATATTTGAAAGTGTACTTGATTTGTAAATGTTCATTTTCCTCTTCATCTTCATCATCATCCAAGGCATCATCTATGACATCATTTAAATTTGCATAAAAATTTATCTATTATTGAAGCTCAAAATCTGTTGAAATGACACAATAATTTCTTGTTAGTCTTCAACTTGTAAAATTCTTAAAACAAAAGCATCATCTTATAATCATATCCACATGTGTTGATTGTTATTAGAATTTCTGCATAATTTTGCTTGTTTTGCTAGTTCCATTTGCTGCAATGTGATAATATAGTTCCATTTGCTGGTTCCACAATATTTAAAAAATGAACAACATGTCAATCTCCATAACAACTCTTAAATATCTTTGTGCATCGTCACATTCCTTCAAACTTACATAATCTCCCACACATACTCATTAATAAAACATCAAATGTCATACACTCAATAATAATGCCTTAAGATTCATCAAATGCCATACACTAATTTTTATTGTATATATTTTACCTACTACTTTTCATTTAAGTGACAGGTTATGTATATTAATAAGGGCAACATAACAACTTCAGAGTAAAGACAAATACTACTACACTGTATTTCAAACATGTTATAAATATAGAGAACTTAAAATTAACAAAGAGATAAATAGATAAATAATCAAATAACACAAAAGTGGAGAATAGTTGTTTCACTCTACACTATGCAATGTAGTGCAAAACTTACCCCGCCATCTCTAATCCCACGCTTATGGGTGTCCGGTTTCGAATATGACTCCAAAGTTTCTATGTTATTAAAATTATGCAAAATCATAAATAAATGAAAGGAAAAACATGAAAAAATAAGTCAAACATAAAATAATTTAAAATTCATGAAATAGTCATAAATAACAATAAGATCGTGGATAGCAAAACATAGAAATGAAAAAGAGTAAAAAAATAAGCAAATTAATTTAAATATCTAAGACTTAAAGTAACAAATATTAAGAATATTGCTTGCGTTAGCCTTGGACATTGACTGCCGTAACAAAAATAAGACTAAAGAAACCACTCAAAATATAAACATCTAAGCATAAAAAGGATCATATTTGATGTGGTCTAAATTTGTTGTGTTATTTAGACCAAATGATTTTATGAGAAATCACCTTTCCTTAATGAGTTGAAGAAAAATTCAAAGCGAAGGAATCAAAATAGGTATAAAATTAAAACCAACCAACAAATTTGAGGTTGTGAAGAAAAATCGATTAATATAAAAGTCAAAGTTACCTTAAGTGTTGAAGAAGAGTCGAATAAGACGAACTAGATTTAAGAGAAACTGAAAATTGAAAATGTCGGACCTAAAGTTCTGGTATGAGAATGAATGAATACTAATTTCTTGCTTTGATATATGAAAATCAATTTGAAGGGTGAGTAATGACAAAAAAAAAACTATTGCATTTGTCGCAACAACATTTACTTGAAATGATTTGAGTATGTAAAATATATCTAAAAAAAGAAAGACAAAAAGATGGTAGGTCAAAAATCACAAATTAAAAAAATAAAAAAATTAACGAACTTGTCTTTGATTTAATAGAATATAATATTGAAAATATCTTTGATTAAATAAGACATCATATTAAAAATTTTAAAAATCTAAATAAATCAGTCAAATTTGATTGGAATGAAATTGATTGAAACAAAAAGGAAAAATATTAAAAAGAAAGACACAACCATCCTATAAACAAACAAATACCATGATTCATGTTTAGTTGGAAAAAATTAAATCTCAACTATAATTATATAGAGTTAAATATAGTGCATAATTTTATATATATAATTAATCAAAATTCTTATATTTATCATGTCTTTTAATATTTAAAAAATAAAAAAATATATTTATCATGATATATATCTCATTGATTTTTTTCTCATTCTTGTATTAATCAAATTAATAGAAGAAAAAAAAATGATAAACATTAATATAGTTAACAAAAAAATTGATAGATAAATAAAAAATAGATAGATAAATATTTAATACTCCACATAGTTTTTCAATATAAAGAGACAGGGAGACAGCCATGTCCACCTCAACCCCATCCTCCTTTGACACATCAAACAAAAGCTTTTACTTCACGCTGACACTAACCCCAAAACTCAGCTTCAACATTTTTTCTTCGCTACTTCAATTTTTCACCTAGCTAAATCATTCACTACAAATTCAACAATTCTTCAATTCATTCCAAAACAATTGCAATTTCCAAGCAATGTATTTATCATCCGAAAAGCCTCGTCCAATCGATTTCTACAAAGAAGAATCCCGCGACATGATGATGGAAGTAGTAACCGCCACCGATCTCCAAGCACCGCAGCTCCACCTCCACCAACAACAACCGCAAATGATTCTCGCCGCAGAGAGCAGCGGCGAAGACCCGGAGATGGAGATCAAAGCCCCCAAGAAACGGGCTGAGACTTGGGTACAAGACGAGACGCGAAGTCTCATTGGTCTACGACGCGAGATGGATTCGCTTTTCAACACTTCGAAGTCGAATAAGCATCTTTGGGAACAGATTTCGGCCAAGATGAGGGAAAAGGGTTTCGATCGGTCGCCGACTATGTGTACTGATAAATGGAGGAATCTTTTGAAGGAGTTTAAGAAAGCTAAGCATCATGATAGAGGGGGGAGTGGCTCTGGGAAAATGTCTTGTTATAAAGAGATTGATGAGATTTTGAGGGATAGGAATAAGTGTACTCAGTATAAGAGTCCTACTCCTACTTCTAAAGTTGAAGCTTCTTACATGCAGTTTTCTGATAAAGGTAAATTCAATGCTTTCTTCAATTGGTTCTGATTTGATGCTATATTTGGATAATTGCTTATGTTTTTTATTCATATGCAATCATGCTTATTTGGGTACAAGTTGTTGTGGTTTCATTTTGATGCACTGTTTTATAAAGTTTTTTATACTGTTGATCTAACTTTTTTTAGATAAATATTCTGTCAGTCAATCTTGTAGTTGAGCATCTTTAAGAAATGGAGTAAACCCCAAGTTTGTACCCAAAATTGGTGGCAGACAAGTGTGCTTATTTAGGCTTTCAAACGTGTGGTGTGGTGTGGTATGCCATCTTGTCTGTAGTGAAACCATTGAGCCTAATTCAACCCTACAAAACTATGTAGGGTTAGGATTGCCCAAATGGTGGGTGACCCGATAGCGAAAACTTGATAGTAGGTGATCCACCGGATCTTAAACCAGTCTCTTGATACCATGTTAAGAGTTATGGTTGAGTCTAACTCAACCCTACAAGACCGACTTGTAGGGTGAGGATTGTACCCACTTATAAGGACAATGTTAGAGTCGTGTATTTTCAGATGTGGGACTCTGAAGAAAAGTTTTCTTGCTTGTGCTAGAACTCTTTTGAGAATTCTCAAGAGCTAAAATAAACAGGCTAGAAGTGAATATTTTAGAATGTAAAATTTTATTCTAGTCCCTAAAATCTATAAATGTAGGTCATGTTAGTTCCTAACATCGGACCTGTCAAGGACTGATATGGTCAGCACTTAGGGTTCTTAGGTACTAAAGTGATTTGTGCGCACTTTGGGATTAGTGTGTCCCTTTTTGAATTTTGTACTGGTGAATTTACAGGCTTACTCTTAACTAATGTGATAATAGTAGAATTCATTCTATTTTGAGAAATGCATATTTTGAAAGTGTTAAAAGCTTTTGAATTGGGAGGGCATCGAATTTAAATCCGACCGGTTAATTAAAACACTTGGCTTCTGGCACAGATGCATAGGCAGTTCATGTAAAAGAAGTTGTGTAAGTAGCATTACTTAAACCAAAGAGTCTGAAGTCTACCAATTATAACAGATTTGGTCCAAAAAGAAGGGCTTATTTGGTATCTTTCTCAAACAATATGGCTTGGAATATTATGTTGAGCTTCTTGCCTTGCAAAGTGGATATAATACGATAAAATGCCCGATTGCTATAACCTAACTATTCTTTTTATAACCAATTGCCGGATCGATAATATTTTCCGAATTCCAACAAATCCAGTCCCAAAAGGTGTGCATCTTGGTTAAAATTGCTGATCTGATGGAGTAAAGAACTGTATAACTATATGAAGTTTATTTGGAAATCAAATTTATATATTTTTTTATCTACGTTTATTTGGAAATCAAATTTATATATTTGTTTATCTACCCTTAATTAAACAGGGATCCTCAGCCCATATCATATGATTTTTGATATATGTAAATTTAAATCACTTCAATTTGGAAATTCTCAAGGGGACTTAACTCCTATCCTATTGAATCATCACTTCCAACCCAAGTGAATCCATGGTTATTTTTCTCTGGTTGTCATTACTGAGTCATGACTTCTGGATGTTTGTCCAGTTACAATTTCTTTCATTTCGGCTTTGAGAACAATTATTTGACTCATTATGTTATTGTATAGGTATTGATGATGCCAACATTTCTTTTGGGCCTGTTGAAGGTATGTCTTTGAAGTCAACATCTTTATTTTCTACTCTATTATTGTTCACCCATGTTGTATCCTATGATTATTTCATATTCCGCAGCTCATGAATCGTGTAGGATTTTGATGCCTTGTGGCAATTTGGTTTGATTCTAGTTCTAGAATGGCAAGTAATAACAACTAGTGTGTATTAAAATCTGTTGTGTGTATTGAACTTTGTAAATTTTATGCAAAAAATTTGGTTTTGTAAAAATATACTAAATATTATCAATACATTTAATATTTTTAAAAGTATAATTCAATATTTTTTGAATTTTATGTAATATATTAAATAATTAACTATTATACTACTTAAATAATATGTATTTACATAACGAATATTTATATATGTTTAATTGTACAAATTGCAATTCAAAAATATATTTGTATTGTATAATACTTTTAATATAGTATATTTTAATCTATCAAAAATCAAAGAATGTAAAATAAGCAATGCACTAGTTTAATGAACATATCATATATATAGCGGTTCATAGTTGTAAGCGCTGGTATTATAGTGCCGTGGCTGTTGGCTTCTCCCATAAGTGTATCATCTCAGAATAGAGTAGCAGCCGTCGCAGCCACGTCTGCATGAGGATTTCATGTCCCGAATGTGTGTTTCACGATGCTACTGGAATGCGATCCACTTATTATGGCTAAAAAGCTACAACGGAGCCGTTATTAGGGCCTTTTCTGGTGATAACCAGAAACCCTGTCTCCTCTGTCACTGTCGCAGCCTGCTGGTCATATTGCACAACGATAATTCAAATAGCAGCCGCCCCGTGCTATCCCACTTTTGGGGTTGGCCTCTCTGCTATCTGGGATTGACAACTATGTAGAAATCTAGTAGAGATTTGATCGAATAGGTTGACCGGACTGACCTTGAGTCCGATTTATGGTTGAACCAGTCAGGTTGGCTGGTCATATCTTGTTTTCTATGCATTGCATGGAAATTTAGCCACTACCATAGGCGACTTGGTGTTCCTTTTTCTTGTAAACATGGGTGGCTGAAATTGAGGAGAGTTTAAGGGGTTTTATGTGACACAAAGGTAGGATTGCGGTAAGACCTGGGTGGATGAAATGGAGGAGAGTTTCAGGAGTTTTATGTGACATAAAGGTACCGCTCAAGCTGAAGGAAATTTTTTATCGAACTGCGTAAGACCTGCGATGTTGTATGGAACTAAATATTGAGCGGTTAAGAATCAAGACGAGAATAACGCAAGTGTAGCCAATGTTGTCAAAATCGGGATTTTACATAAGATTGGGAGGGGATATTAAGGTCGTAAGACATAAGATCGTAACTAAGATTGGAAGATCCTACTCAATCATTTTTGTAAGACCGAGAGTGGGTAGTAAGATTGTAAAACATAAGATTGTAACAACAATCGTAAGATATTGCTAAAACTTAAAATAATGCTACATATTTGAAGTATTTCTACATGATATTTCCGTAGGCAGTGTATTCGCGGGAAAATGGACGCCACCGAACCAAGAAGATTAGATCAGATGGAGAGAAGTCAAACAACTAGAGGTAGAGAAAGACCTAAAAAAATTATAAGAGAAGTTATTAAGAAAAATCTCGAGATTAACGATTTGGATGGAAGTATGATCTTGGATAGAGCATAATAGTTAAAGTTGATCCATATAGCCGACCTCACTTAGTGGAATAAGGCAGAATAAGGCTTGGTTGTTGTTGTTGTAACATTTCTATATACTATTTTTCTTATAAAATGAGTGGGGTAAATAATGAAATGTTACTTTGGAGAGCTTATCGAAGTGAGAATTCAAATACTGTACTCTAGGAATGTTCTGGTTATTGTATTTTTACTAGGAATTCACTCAGTTCATGTGTGGCTTGGTTATTAAAGGATACATCTCTTGCTGCTCTCTAGAGCTCACTGTGCACTCTCCCTATCTCATACAATCCTCATGTATTTAACACCTAAAATCTAGGAAACTAACTGAGAAGTCAGTTAGAATGGTCATTCAGCAGTCTATTTCTAACAAGATATCAAGCAACTAACCGTAAATCAGTGGCCTATTTCTAACAAGATATCAAGGAACTATTCTAACTAACTTTTCAGTTAGCTAGTTTCCCAGATTTTAGGAGTTAGTTACATGAGGGGATATATGATAGGGAGAGTACACAGTAAGCTCTAGTGAGCAGCAAGACATGTACTTCTGTAACTGGTAGTTATTTCTTCAAATAGTGGAAAAGTTTTTTTTGCTACTTGTTGCATATCATTCATTAGTTTCTCTCGATTAAAAGGCCCAGTTGTAGTAACTCATAAGGTAAGAATTATTCATATAGTGGGAGGAAGTATTCATACCCATTTTTTTCTCACCATTGATCTGTTTTAAAAATTCAAATGTATTTTTTCTTTGCAGCATTTTAATGGCCAAACCCAATATTTGATAGTTTTTTTTTTGGTATCATTTTGGAAACGAAGTATGAATTCACCAATTCAGGAAAGGGGGATGTATTTAAAAGAATTTAGATATATGTGGATGGTATCGTTTAGATGTTCAAGCATTCATTCTTTCCAAAGTAATAGTTGTCCCTTCACGTTTCTCATTGTTCTTGAATACTTGGCAATTAGCTTCTGGGAGACCAACACTCAATCTTGAGAGAAGTTTGGATCATGATGGACACCCTCTTGCCATTGCTGCAGCTGATGTTGCAGCAAGTGGAGTCCCTCCTTGGAATTGGAGAGAAACTCCCGGAAATGGTAAGCTATGCAAGGGACTAGTTTGTAATTATTTTCTTTAGGTTAATTGCTTTCTTACTTCTGTTATTGATTCTTCTTATTTTGGCAGGTGGGGAAAGTCAGTCTTGTTGTGGAAGGGTTATATCAGTCAAATGGGGTGATTATACAAGACGGATAGGTATTGATGGCACTCCAGAAGCCATCAAGGAGGCAATTAGGGCCGCTTTTAGGTTGAGAACTAAACGTGCATTTTGGTTGGAGGATGAGGAACAGATTATCAGAAGTATTGACCGTGATATGCCTATAGGAAATTACACTCTTCACCTTGATGAAGGTTAGTCTCAGTTTATTCTTTTAGCTAGCTCGTGCAAGTTAAATGGTTTTATTATACTTTTATTGCCTAGGAGCTTTAGTGTTATTTTCAAGTCCACTTGTTTTGATTTGAGTTTGTGGACCCCTTAAATTTAAGGGGATAAACTGTATTTCCCCCAAAACATAGACTATGTGTGCAATTGTTAACATAACACTAAATTATCATTGCAGGGATGGCCATTAAAGTATGTCTATATGACGAGTCTGACCATATCCCTGTGCATACTGAAGAGAAGATATTTTATACAGAAGATGATTACCGTGATTTTCTGGCACGCCGTGCTTGGACATGCCTTAGAGAATTTGACGGTTATAGAAATATTGACAACATGGATGATCTTCGACCTGGTGCCATATACCGAGGTGTGAGTTGAGTCTCAGCTGGTGCATGGTATGATGATCAATCTTCAACTATTTGCATTATAAATGTCCTAGGGAGTTGGAGGGAACTATTTTGATCTTTGATGATATATATTGTGCAGCACTAACCTGAAGCTGTATGTGTTTAGTTTGACAAAGCTGATTATAATAATATATTACTACAATAGGAGAGAATGAATGAGTCTCTATGCCCTCTGTAAATATGGATTGACAGTGAGAAAAAAATACAGCTGTTTTGCTTCTACTTCTATGTAGTTCTCTATTGATTTTGCGGCCTAATATTCGTTAAGAAATGTGACTGTCCACCTTTAGTGGAGTCTCATATTTCAAGCACTTTCTGAATCTACAAAGTTTGAATTCGATGCCTTGCCTAAGTGATCGGGATCAATTCTACCCGAACTAATTAAATGTTGGTAAAGCTGGAACCTTCTGAACCATCACCAACATTAATTTTAATCAGACGATCATAGTCCTAAAAATTCTATCTGGAAAACTTGCATTGAAGGGATGCATGATGTGATAGGATCCAAATTCTCTGCGGCAAAGTTTTGACACAGTAATAAATTTTGATCGTTGATTTGAGTTGATCGGTTTACATTTACAAGAGAAATCCACATTAAAGAGACGGATGAAAGGAGAAATAATGGGAAAGGATTCTCGCATTGGAGATTTCACTGGAGATCTTCACCGTTTGAACTTCACATTTTCGTGTTTTTGTATTTTTAATATTTCACTGTGTGGTGTAGATTTTACTGGATGGAGGGAAATTCTCTGGAGACAATCCACATTTAGAAATAATGTTGAGAAAAAAAGATAAGGATGCGAGAGATCAAGAGACAAGAGAGCCGTAGACATATTCCTGTTGTTACCGTTTTAAGGGTTGCAAGAGTTATCACGAACAATCATGAGCGGGCGAATTAATTATAAACCAACACGAAATCACACTACACTGTGTTTAACTATCTATTTGTTCGATACCTAAGACGTCGAAAGATTGTCTTGAAAGACAATGTGTTTAAGGATCTATCTGTCTGATAAGACAGTGTGTTTAAGGATCTATCTGTCTGATACCTAAGACAATGTGTTTTAGGATCTATCTGTCTGATACCTAAGACAATGTGTTTAAGGATCTATCTGTCCGATACCTAAGACGTTGAAAGATTGTCTTTAAAGATCTATCCGTATCATGTTACATCATTTTGGCAATGCGTGTGTTCGATATTCATGAGTGCATGTTCTAGAGGCGTTAGAGTTTGATATTCATGAGTGCTCTAGAGGCGTTAGAGTTCGATATTCATGAGTGCATGCTCTAGAGGCGTTAGAGGCATGTTAGAGGCGTTTCATATAGATATTATCGACTTCATTAAATGTATGATATATATGATATATGATGCAAATCCCCATAAATCACACACCGATAAAAGATATGTAAATTATTAAATTTTTTATAGCTTTATTATTTCTATAATGCAGCGTAAAACAACGGGTACATCATAGGATAGTGCCAATAGAATTAACTTGTGAATTATTCTCACTACATTAAACCTTCTTTATTTTCAATCATAAATATCGAGTTTTCATTACTTATTAATTTCAATTGGTTCAAGTTTTATTCTCCTCGATGTTACACATTAATTTATTTCCCCAAGACTTTGTCAAGCTAGATTCACTATGACTTTATATAAACGATCAATATAGTTCCACATTTTTACAATTGATTTATCACATTATATATGAGTTTTACATGTCTAATTTTGTCATTGTACAGATGTATTATTTACAATAATTATTGTCGGCTATCACCGTATATTGATACTGATGTGGTTGGTATCATTCTTAAGGAAATATTTGACAATATTTTTAACCACTCAGCTTCACTATCAGTTAATTCCAGAGCTACAAACTATGACTTCATGATTGATATAGCAATTATATGATCTCCAAGTTATTGTACCACCAAAAAGTGTGAACAATAACTATTAGTAAATTTTGTCTCATTTGAATAAGATATCTAATTAGCATCATTATACCCTTCTAGAACAATGAGAAATTTACTATACGCAATACCATAATTGCCTCTCAAACATTTCATTAATCTAATAAGTGTCTCTCAGTGATCCTATATCAGATTCATGTTGCCTCTCAAATATTTGATTAATCTAGTAAGTGTCTTCCAGTGATCTTATATCATGTTATGAGTATATATACCCAAACGATCTACTACATGAGCAATATCAAGTCGAGAAAAATTCATCAAATGCAGTAAACTTCCAATAACTTGGGCATATTTATTCTGGCTAATAGGATATCCTTTATTCTTCTTTAATTTAGAGTTAGCATAATAAGGGGTTCCCATAAATTTAAAGTTATAAAAAATGTTAGAACATAAACCAATATAGAGTAGTGGACCTTATTTTGGGTAGTGGAAGGTGTCATTATATTGATCAAGTACTATGTTGTGAGGACAACATCCCTCCAAAATTTTAAGGGAACATTAATATGGATACACAAAGTACGTGGTGTTTCAATTATATGACAACATTTACGTTCAACAATATCAACAATATCATTTTATTGAGGGATATGTTGACAAGATGACGTGTATTACTCCGTTCTCAACCACAAAAGAATTAAAATACGCTGGAAAATATTCTTTTGAATTATCATTGTGCAAAATGTGAATAAAACAATTAATCTATTTTGAATTTCCTAAAGAAATTTTAAAAGAAACTAAGTAGTTCTAATCTATCCTTAAGCAGGTAGATCCACATACACATAGAAAACTCATCAATTAAGGTAACAAAGTATCTATAAATTGATACGAAATATCTTGAGAGATTAGCTCCCAACCTGGTCTTATTTATATTGAATATAGTACAATGAGAATCCTAATAAATATTATATCAAAACCCCCCATCATATTTTGAACTAAATATTTGTGTTATTAAAATCTTTCAATGAAATCCATTTATTAGAATGCTAGAGGAGTAGAAAACTTTGATATTTGATTGGCTATTAAAATCTCCGTGATTAATAAAAGTTTACCTTATTCTTGATTGTTGAACCAATAATTCTTTATGTTTATTTCTACGGTACGTGTCTTAAACAAATACGACTTAAGAGATTTTTTTATTAAATTTTAGATAGAATCACGATTTGGACCTATGTGTTTTTTGTGCAATAGATATGAATCTCACTGTGTTGATTTTATTTTTCTATAGAAGTGGATCAAAATAAATTCTTCATTGTCATTGTATATGCAAATAACTCATGTGATTTGAGGACAGTCATAGAATGAATTTATAAATCTTCAACACGTTAATTCTATCCTTTGGTGCACGCTAGGTAGTTTTAATGTAGTTATTAGTTACTATGAGAGATTTGATAGATGCCTTCCAAAAAAACTTCCACTGATGAATTTCGTTGGACAAATCAAAATGAGCATATGCATCTTGACACTAACGGTGGCTACTTTACTTAGACCAATGGGAGGAAAAGGGGTGCTTACTCTTTTGTTAATCCTAAAAAATTCATTTGTAATCACAATTGACTAGATAATAGGAACACAATCAATTGCTCTACTTTAATTAAGAATCACTCAAACTATTATCTTATTCTTCTCTAATATGACAAATATAGGTTTGATTCGTCTAGGCAAATCAAATTTATGCAGATTTGGACTCTAGATGATAAATGTATACAATTGAATATTGATAATTAGAATAATGATGTGGCTTGTTTCCCTATTTTTGTTTTAGCCACTGAGTTAGATCTCTTAAACCTATTCTTAAGAAATGGTACAAAGAAATATTAAGAAATATTCATCTTAAATTCACTAAAGCTACTGATGAAGTTAACATGATACAAAATTTGATTAATGGTACACGTTACAATGATGATTTTGGATTGAAAAAAAATTGTGGAACTATGTGCTTGAAGGTTTAATCATGAAGTGATCAAAGTTTATAGATAAATAATATACATCTAGCCCTGATAACATTCTGGTTTTTGTGATGACAACTTCTGAAGATGTAACATCCTTTAAAGTTACTTTGACTGCAACATAAAAGAAATATTAAAGCTAGATCAAGCAGCCAAAGATGCACATAACTGTTGATCAAGCTATCCTCTGAATAAACTTGAAGATATAGGGTTTGATGATCACAAGTGATACCCACTGATGATGGCATCTGACTTGAAAATATCTCAAGCCTCATCCACAATAAGATTCAATTTAAGTGCTCACATGATTGGTATACCCAAAAAAAAGACTTGAGGTGTTAGACTATAAAAGATAGGAAGTGTGAAAGCTTGCTTAATCGTGTCTGTCTGAGTGATCATTATTTTGTAAAAACACAAATTTTTGTAAAGTTGTATGGCTATAAGACACACAAACTATTTTTCAAAGCCCTTATTTTCAAATAAAGTCACCTAAATTTTTTTTGGAGCCAAGCCAAATGAATTGGAATCTATCTAATAAATTAGACCAAGTGGCTAATTGATTAGATAAGGGCGAAACAAGTCTACAATCGATTATGACAGTATCTTAGTGAATGACAATGGATCTCTATCAAAACCTTCTAATTTGAGCAGTAATAATTAGTTATTGCATGTTCTTAATCAATTAGCTAACTGATTAGGTAATTAATTTTATATATAGATTGTTTTCTTTTTGAAACCATCTTTTGAACTATAAATAAAGACATTACCCTTCGTTTCTTTTCATCAAGAAAATGAGAGATATCTCACATTCCTCTCTCTCAATCTCTCTCTAAATTAGTTTTCTTTATCTCACATATTTTTGCCATATCGTTTTGAGAAACGATCTTGTGTTTAATGAGGAAGTTGTTCGACAAGGGGTATTATTGTAAATTCACCAATAATAATTTTTCCTCTGTTATCTTGAAAAATCTTAAGGAATTCAAGTACATGTGATAAATGAAGATATTCTCATAAGTTATGAGTCATCCTCCAAAATAAGGGTTTTTTGGGA